GGGATTTTGCAGCTATTGAAAAGGAGATCACGCTTTTTTCCTCTCCTTTCTCCGTGGACCCTGATGACCACCTGCAGCTGGAGCTCATTGAGCTGCAGTGTGACGCCGAGTGTCGCAGTCAGCACCAACAGCTCCCTCTTGTCAACTTCTACCGCCAGCTGGATGAAGGCAGGTTCCAAGAGATTCGAACATTCGCTAAGAAAATGCTGAGCTTGTTTGGCTCGACATACTTGTGCGAGAAGACATTCTCAGTCATGAACATTAATAAGAGCCGCGTGAGGACGAGACTAGGTGACTCTCACCTGCGTGACGTCTTGCGCATCAAAACCACTGTTTTTGAGCCAGACCTGGACTGCATACTGCAGTCAAGATCTCAGTATCACCCTTCACATTAGTGCAGGCAAGATTAGTCCTCTGAGGTGAATAAATTCTAAAATCTCAGTGAATTGATTTTTTTGTGATGATCAAAACCACAGTTTTGAATATGCACTGACCACTGTTTTGAATTTAGAAGTTTACATTGAGCATTTAATAGTGAATAATATGTAATGTTTCAGATGAACCTAGATATGTTTAATATTCCCAAAAGTTTTTTTTTCCAGACAGACTTTTTCTTCATTTTATGTGGTCTTCAAATATGAAAGGCAGAGTGATTTTGGTAAAAACTTGAAAATGAAAAAAAAAAGTATATAAAAAAAGTATGCCATTTGCAATAAAAATTTCCTAAAATAGTTCATTTGTATTTAATGTTAATGGTTCAAAGAATGTCAGGCTGAATGGTCGGCCCCCACACATTTTCACCTTACCAAATTTGGCCCTCTTTGCAAAAAGTTTGGACACCCCTGTCATAAAGGTTTAAACAATGTTATATTAATGCAGTATATCCCATTGTATTCTAAAATACTCCGGTCCTCTCCTTCCTATCAGGTCTTCACTCCAGTAGGGGGCAGCACTGAGCTGTGGCGGCCCCTGCGAGCTCTCAGCCTGCTCCCTCCGTCCCACGGCATCAGGAACCTGCTGCTGCTGTCAGACGGTCACATCCAGAGCACAGAGCTCTCCCTGCAGCTGCTCAGAGAAAACGCCCAGCACAGCCGCCTCTTCACCTGCGGCCTCAGGTCTGAACGAGTTGATGGGTCATAGGTCACGGGGAGTTTGATGATATTAACTTGGGATTTTCTAAAATAGTTGCACTAATGATTTTGTTAAATTGTGCCTGAAATCACAAATCCTTTTAGTGCATAGTTTTGTTTTAATGAGCTGTGTATAATCTATAATAGTGTCACAGTCATACGTCATTCACCTTTCATAGGTAATTCAGAAGATGTGGACAGATTAAAACTCTGAGCTCTTGTCGTGGCAAGAGTGTAATACCGACTAAATTAATTCAGACAAACCATTACAATTTAAAGGATCATTTAATATTACAATTATTCTGAATAGAGTAGTATTTAGACACATAATCTTGTAGTTAGGGAACAGAGATCAGAGAACAGAGCCTCTCCTCCTGCAATGTGATAGATAAAGCCTAACGATTGCCAGAGCACCAGTCAGTCAAGTCATTGGTTGTCAGTCCCGAGTCAGTCAGCGTCTTCCCCAGCCGGCTGGGTCCCCAAAAGGTACATGGTCTACTGTTCACTGCCGCATGGTCCTCTCTCTTCCACAGGCTCACTCCTCTATTCCGGGAACCCTGTACTTCAAAAACAGGGAACATCCTGACCACTTACATAAGCCCAACTCACATGAACTTAATAACCCCATAACCACTCAGCTTTCCCTTACACAAGCTAATAACAAATTGAGCTACATACTGTTCTATTACATGAAAAGGAGATCACGCTTTTGTCCTCTCCTTTCTCCGTGGACCCTGATGACCCCCTGCAGCTGGAGCTCATTGAGCTGCAGTGTGAAGCCGAGTGTCAATGTTGGCCTGAGACTTTAGCGCCTCTAAACTCTAACAGTTGTAGTTAAACACTGACCTCTTCCTACAGCCAAAATTAAATCTAAAATAATTTCCGTATTACAGAACTAACAACTCCTCAATAAGCCTTTAACCTGAACG